AGTTCAAAGAGAATGGGGGGGGGGGGGGAGGATAGAAAAGATGAACATACCAGTGTTGTGTTTCAATTCGGCTAGCTGTTGCTGATGCTTCCATTTCATGTGTTCCATTTGCATCTTTAGCAAAAATATCGCCTGACAATTTTCGGCAGTGCCATTTTCACCGTTAATATAGGTTTGAGCCGCCTCCTTATACGTCTCTTCCATCAACTGGCCCATTCTTCTCGCGAGTTCGTTTGCATTTTGATGCAAACGCGCGCTAATCGGTCCGGCCTGCGGAGGCAATAGTTGATAAGTGGAGGATGTTTCTTGCTTATTCGGGGAAATCTGGGTAAACTCGTCTGTACTGAACAACGGGCGTGGAGACGTGTTTTGTGGATTACGTGATTTGCTAGGAAAGGTCTTCTTAGCTTTGCTCTCCTTCTTTACGAGCGAGTTGTGTTCTTTCGTCACGGGATAGTCGACTGTCGGCGAGGCTTGTTTTGCAGCCTCTGTCTTTCCGTTATTCACCACAAAGAGCACAACGGATTTATCCGCTACGGGATTGAGTACGTTTGTTGACGATGACGATGAAATAGCGTGAGTAACTTTTGCACTCGATGACACTGAAGTCGGTGATAGCGTTATATCGATCTCAGGTATCTTTTGAACACTCGACAATTCCTTGTTGTTTAACAGCGATGCCTTGTTTATTATCGTCGCGCTCGGCGAATTCGACGATGACAGTTTCTCGTTTTCCTTGCTCGCCAAAATAGACTTCAACGCTTTCTCTGCGTTCAGTTTGTCGCTCTTCGACGCGTTTTCCGTTTGCGAGAGCGCCAACTTGGGATTGATGATATTTTTCAAGAGGCTTCTCTTTTGCGTTCGCGTCGTGTTGGATAATTCATTGGTCGGCGGTGTCACAGGCTTGGGCGAATTCTCGGATGATTTTGGTTCGTCCTTCGATTTTGAATTATTTTTCTCCGAGATTTGTTTATTAACATTAGAAGTTGTCGCATTGCTACTTCCAGCGACATTATTCGTAACCAAATTATTTAATCGAGACAGTAATGCCTTTGCATTTTTCGATTTCTCACTTTTTACCGTTCTATTTTGAGCAACTGTTTCAACTTGGATTTTCTTTTTTAATTTACTATTATCTAAATTCGTTTGCGAGTTCGGAGTACCCTTAACGTCCATGATATCTGATTTTTGTACTTTTGGTGTCATAGCTTCGCTCGCCTTTTCATCTTTATCATCGTTTTCTTTCGAACTAGTGTTTATTTCGCCGTTATCAATCGACTCGTCATTCTGCGATTTCCCTTTAATCGAGAGATTCCGTTTTCTCAAAGGCGTCTTTTTCTTCGGAGTCACGGAGAGTTCGGAATTGAAAAAATAATTGTTGGGTTCAAGCGGATTGTAATTCGGCAGCATCAGCTTTATCTGCATCGGATCGTTCGGATTGTACTGCACTTTGGGTGGCGCAAACTTGAATTGACCGTACATAAGCGCCAGTTTTCTACAGTGTCGAGTGATTTCACGCACGCATTCATCCATGTCGGACTTTCGTTTACGTGGAGACGGCGCGGGCGGCTCCTCGGAGTATAGATAAAGGTCCTTCGGTGGCACCCAGGCGCGATCGTGTTCGCCGAAGAAGCGCACGTCCACAAATCCCTGAGAATTGACGCGCGGCATCGCCTTCGCCGGCCAGAATGGGAAACCCTTTAGTTTGGCCCATACGAGCGGATGCGGTCGACGGCAAGGCTCAATGAACCACGACGGTTGGGGCCTCGGCAAGTTTCGACCATGCGCGTAACAATCGGGACAGGCCTCGATCTCCGAAACCTCCTGACGCGCCACTTTGATGATCTGCTTCGCCGCATTTGTCAGCTTCAATGTATCCGCATAAACACCACCACCTACCAGGTAGATATAAACATAGCTTATTTGTCTACTCAATCTTAGTAGCTACCAATTTAGACTAGACGCGAATTTGAAAGCAAGTGCAGCGAATTAACATACAGGTGTTGAATACGATGCAATTGTGTTGTATCCATTTCGCATCGGCCATAAACGCGTCAGTGCTGCCGTAAAGCTTGGATCGCACATTCGATTCCAAGAGACTCAAATCCATCGGCTTGACAACGTAATCCAAATAGTTTGGCACTTCTGCAAGGTCCACAGGTTTGGAGAATGGTTCAGACTGCGCATCGGAAATAAAAGTTATTCAGAAATAAATATCTATTATATATAATGTAATAATATTCACGTATTATAT